CCCCCCTCCCGCTGGGCTCCCATCAGTGTGCTCAGTCAGCTCCCTTGAATCCTGCCTGGGTCTCTACTACACATGGCACTGGCTCCTATGGGGATGTGTTCGCAATTTACAAACATGGTGTAGTGTATAAAACTCATTCGTCTGTACATTTTTACACTCAATACTAATGTTCTCCACATGCATCTCGTTCGTTGCTTCTGGCTGCATGTGATACACCGTGTTGAGCATCTAGCCCTTTTATTATGCCCCCGCCGCCACCACCAAGGGACCCACATGTAGCTTGGCCTGATACCCCTATCAGATCACGGACATCACTGACTGCTGTGGACATCTTCACAGTGTCCTTTGATGGCTGTGGGAGAATTCTTCCTGAAGTAGGACTTAAGCCAAGCTCTCCTGAGTGGTTGTGCGCATTTACACACCACCGCGAGGGTTCTGGTTTTCTCTTAGCACTCGGTATTGGCTTGCTAATGGCTTGCCAATCTGATGAGTCTAAAGTGGAACCTCATTTTCATCTGGGGATCTCTGATGACTGGACAAGTTGAACAGCTCTTCATGCACTTGTCAGTCATGGTGGTTCCCTCTTCTGTGAACTGTCTGTATCTCTTGTCCACTTTTTTCTATTGGGTTTCTAGTCTTTTTTCTGATTTGCATGTCTGTACATTTCTAAGTATTAATCCCTTGCTGGGTTTGATCCTGCACACATCTCCCTATTTTTGTCTCCTTACTTGTCTAAGGTGGTCTGAATTAAAGAACCATCCTCCTTTTCATATAGTCAAATCCATCAGGTTTGTGCCCTTGGAGTCTTGTTTGAAGTGTTCCCTCACCCCGAAGTGACAAAGGTATCCTCCAACACCTTTTCCTACTGCACTGGAATTCTATTCTTCTTACTAGCTTTGGGATCTTGATGGGCTAGGACCAGGGTAAGGGGAGTGAGGCATTCCCTTTGGTGAAAAATTTAAGCAGTCACCCAAAAACTCAGTAAGAAATATCAATAATAGTTTATTTTTAATTGTTTAAATTAATTGATTAGAGAGAGAGGAGGGGAGAGAGAGAGAGAGATAAAAACATCAAGGATGAGAGAGTCATCATTAATCGGCTGCCTCCTGCATGTCCCCTTCTGGGGATCGAGCCCTCAATGGGGGCATGTGCCCTCACCAGGAAATGAACCTCGATCTCCTAGATAATAATAGGTCAATGCTCAACCGCTGAGTCACACTGGCTGGGCCTCAGTATTTTAATGCATTATTTTAAAAATCAAATTTAAGGCAAAACTCCATGATGAACAAAATACCAAAATTTTAAAGACAAGATTCAACCTTGCCCGGCTCACCTCACTCACCATACCCTAGTCCTGACTTTGCCTTGAGCAAGTTACATAACATCTCTGTGCTTCAGTTTCCTCATTTGTTAGGTGGAAGGAACAATGTTTCCTTCACAGCATTCACTTAGGATTAAATGAGTTACTACATAGTCAGGAGCATAGCGCAGTGCCTGGCACGTAGGAGTACGGGATTGGTGTTAGGTATTATTACAACTCACAATAAGATCCTTAACCCTATGGATCCTACCTTTGAATGCGGCATAGGGAGGGATCCAGATTTATTTCAACGTAGAGAGCGCCGGTTTCCCCAGCACCGCCTACCAATCAGTTCTTCCTCCCTCTGAAGTATGGTGCCACATTTGTCATATATCAACTATAGTATATAGTCATTAACATGTATCTATTTTAAGTTCTGTTTTTTGGTTCCATTGGTCCCTTGACTAATTCTTTTTTCTTTTTTTTAATATGATTTTATTGATTTTTAGAGAGGAAAGGACAGAGACAGAGAGATAGAAACTTCGCTGAGAGAGAAACATCACATCGATTGGCTGCCTTCCGGGCATGCGCCCTGACCCCAAGTTGAACCAGTGACAGCCGGTGACCTCTCCCTGCTTGGAAGGACACTCAACCAACTGAGCCACACTGGCCAGGGCAGTACCTCATGTTGTTACCAGAAAGGGGGCCTGGCCCTGAGATGGTCTTCCTAGGGCCCACTGGCAGTGTGTGAGTTCTTGACTTCATGCAGGAAAGATCTCACAGCATGAGTCCAGGTGATTTTTAGAGGACGTTTATTAAAGCTGGGGACAATGAAACAACGGAAGGGCCTAGGACAGAAGAGGCAGCGGGAGAGCCCAGGCGGGGCTGCTGTGGCTCACTGAGAAGTCAGAGAAAAGGCGGCCTTGGGGCAGGTTCAGGGGGTTAGCCCAGGACGAGCTGCCGCTGCCCACTGCTGCCCTGGTTGCAAGCCTCCCATGGGGTCCCTTAAGAGTTTAGGAGATGCAGCCTGTGGGGGAAATGGGAGTCGGAGGGGAAAGGCACTGGAGTGGTCCTGGGAGGGAGAGCACACACTGGGGTGGTTTCTTGAGGGTTTTTAAAGGCTGGACATGTAGGGGAGGTCTTAGGGGAAGATCTCAATAGAAAATTCATCAGTTTTATGCTGATGTGCCAAAATGAGACTTATTCCCTTAATGTCATCTGTCCTTAGGTGTGGTTGGCACAAATGTCACCCACTGGATTTCTGCTATCTGTCTCCCTGAGTGGGGCGATTTAAGCTATTTACCCTCTGGTTAGGGAGGAGAAGTGCAAAGCATTCACTCTTAAGTGTCCTGGGTTTAGGGAAGACAGGATTTACTAGATGGCTGCAAACTGCCGGGCATCTAGATTTACTAGATGACTGTAAACTGCTTGTTTAACTACCTGTCTCAGTTTCCCTATCCCGCTTGTCCTGGCTTACTAGCCTGTCTCAATATAAATGGAATCATATAGCATCTCCCTTTTAGTGAGTGGTATTCATTTAGATATTGGTGTATTTTCATATACACTAGTGGATTCAATTAGCTTAATATTTCATTTAGAATTTTATATCTGTATTTATTAGTAAAATGTATACTTTTCTTGCCTTATGGTATACTTATCTGGTTCCGGAATCAACATTAAAGTAGTCTCGTAAAATACGTTGGTTGGCTTTCCTCTTTTTTTCTATTTTCTGAACAATCTGTGTAGACTACTTGTTGCTTCAAAATTTGGCAGAACTTGCCTGTAAAACTTCCTGTATTGGTTAAAAAAAAAAAAAAAAAAAGCAGAAAGCAAAGCATGTTACCTTCCTCTCAGAGGTCCTGCCTGTCTCAGGGGAGCTCCTGTGGGAAATGAACCAGGGTAAATACATGAAGCGCTTAGCACCTTCACAGTCATGATGGTGGGACGTAGACAGTGCAGAGGTCTCAAGACATTCCTCTTGAGCGTGGCGACCTAAATCTCGTGGATGAGAGGGGGCCACGGACGAAACCTCACGAGCTCAGGGGGGGCCTGCATGGCAGCCTTACAAACTCAGAGACCAAAAATAACCACATAGGATGGTCTGAAATGAAAACTTTCTCACTAAAAGCAGTTCAGGGCAAGGAGTCATGTCCCAAGGCAATGTTTTTCCCTAACCCAGATCAATCTTCGCCTTAACTGAGCCTGTCTTTTGGCAACTAGAATAACACACCTGAAAACATGCCTTTGGAGTAACAAAGTAATTTCCCTTGTTACTTTGGGAAGTAACAAAGTAACAAAGTAACAAAGGAGCAGCACAGCCGCCATGGTTACTGTTATGCAGCTAATTGCCGGCGGTTAGCTCGCCGGGAAACACGGATGTAAAAGTGTCTTGTTTATTTATTTTACTTTTTATTCTGCCCCAGAGGTGTGGCTCTCTCCCGCCTCCCTGCTCTATCACCCAGAGATTTCACGAGACCCCCTCACAGCTCCCTCTTCGGACCTCACTCCTGTCACCCCTGCAGTCACACCCACCGGGCTCCCCTGGGCGCCAGGCACCGTGGGTTCAGCGGGTGGCACTCACCGCCGCCAGCCCCACGCGGCCTTCTCTCAGATCTGAGGAACTTAAGCTCCCACAGGGGCAGACACCCTCCTGCCCTTCTTACTCCTGGTTTCCCTTTTCATTTTTGACAGAGAAGAAAATTCAGGATTCAAAAGCCATGACTATTGTGCTAGATATGCAAAAGAAAAGGCCCGAGGGAACACACAAAAATAGTTTTGGGGGGACTGCCCCGCCCCCGCCCCCGCCCCCATTTTCCTCTCCTAGGTGGGAAAGGAGGTTCTGCTCTTCCTACATCTTTCAATGGAGCGGCAGGCACAAGGCGACGCGGGAGGGCCGCGGCCCTGTTTTCTGGGGACGCCCCCCCCGCCCGCAGGCCCCGGCCCCGCCTCCCTGACC